CAATGCCTGCGCGCATTTCTTAAGAGCTACACCAGAACCCAGGCCTCCACGTGTTAGTGCTAAGACCACGGGTTCTTACAGGGGTGTGGCTTCTGATAGCCCCGCCCCTCACCTCTTCCGGCGTTCTCAGATGGCCGAAGAGATTTGACCCACGGACGGAGCCGTAGCCCCTGTCTCCTCCGTGGTCCGTAACCCGGAAGCTGGGAGTCCAGGATTCCTGACAGTGGCCCGCGATGTCGGATAGGGACGTGGGGCAGAGTGGAGGCTTGTCGGGGGCCCGAGCGGCGACTGTCAGCGACATCCACGAGCTGATGCGTCGCAAGGAGGAGATCGAGGCTCAGATCAAGGCCAATTACGAAGTGCTGGAGGGCGTGAGTAGGGGCTCGGAGCGCGGCGGGGGTGAGCCCGGGAGGGCCGGGAGGTCGGGAGGCCGGAGCCCCGCTCGGGCGCTGGCCGTGGGTCTTCCGCTCCCGGGGCGGCCCGTGGGCAGCAGGCAGTGCGGGCACCGGCAGCCCATGTTGCAAACAGGAAAGAAAAGGCAGGAAGAGGTGGGGAGGTCCAGCGCCAGCAGCACCCCCTCTCCAGGATCTTTCCTGCAAGTCCGGCCTCCTGCCCATTGTGTCAACTTCTCCTTCCCCTCATAGGCCCTTCTGCCCATCCTGAATCCTCTTTCACTTGTCAAGACCACTGTGATAAAAGGGCTATCTCCCCGACTCAGGGTCCTTAACCACGTCTGCCAAGTTCCTTTTGCCATGGCAGGTCACGTATTCACCGTCTCCAGAGATGAGGCCTTGAGCATTGTGGAGTCCATTCCTCACCCTGCCCCTGGTAGGCAGCCGTCGGTCTCCGGTCTCTACCATGGACTCTCATTACAAGGGAATTTATCATCTATGCTTTTCGCTGAAGGACTGCCATTTAATCTGTTTGAACCCTGGTTTCATCTGCAGCATGTTTTGGTATAAATTCATTCTTTTGGGAAGCCCTGGTGGGACAAGGAACCCCGGGGGTTCACAGAGCTGAATTCCCCACAGCCACAGTAAGATAATGGGACTTCTTTTAAGAGTGTCACTTGATCCTAAAGATTTTGGTGAAAGAAGAACTTCATTTGTAGATTAAAATAAATAGGAAATAGGAAGACACAGAGAAGGGGAAAGCCATGTTAATATGACCAGGCTTGAGGGAAGTTTGGGGACTTTGTCTAAAACTTTAGAGTCCCTGGGATGTGGCAGTGTGCCTCTACATTAGGAGGACTCTGGGGAGATTGCAGGGGGACTTAGCTACTGGGAACGTGCTGACTTCTTTTTCTCCAAATTATTAATTTGATATTCTAACCATTTATTAATAGTCCCTTCTTTTCCTCTAATTTAAAATGCAGGTGACAGTGCAGGTGTGCCTAGGCCCTCTTTGCCACATACCACATTCTCACTCATTCTTAGGTCTATTCTTGGTCTTTTTTCATTGTCCTATTGATCTATTCTTTGGGTGCCCTATGGTGCCATCTTAATGACTTTATTATACATAAGAATCTGTTGAGCAATTCTTCCTCATTGGTCTTCTTTTGAAAAACTGTTTTCACAAGTTTTTTTTTTTTTTTAATTCTGAGACAGGTATTTGCTATGTTCCTGAGGTTGGCCTTGAACTTGAGATCCTTCTGCCTCAGCCTTCTGAGTAACTGGGATTATAGACATGTGCCACCTTGCCCAGCTCTGTGAGATATAATGTTTCATTTTGTTTTGGTTCTAGGAACCACTGAGCCATATCCTTAGTCTTTAATTTTTATTTTAAGACAGGATCTGG